CTTCTAATGCTTCATCTATCTCCTACTGAATCCGCTCCATTCGTAGGGAACTACGGCCGGCAGCCCCGAAGCCAAAACTAAATCGCCTTCCAGCCAGATAAATCTCTCACACGCTGATATCAACGACAAGAACGTGAGCAGTGCCCAACTCCTGTATGAGTTCCGCGATCGAATTTCTACTGGGTCCTACGATCTTGGTTCTTATGAGGACTCTGAAATCGTCATCAAAATCACCACACATACTCCACCAGCTCGCTTCCGCTCCCACGTATTCCTGTCAAATCTCAGAAGGAACTTGACGATCATATTAATAAATTGCTCAACGCGGGCGCATTGTTGAAGCGGCACCCCATGGGTCCATAACACTGTCTTGGTAAAGAAAAGGTACGGTTCCCTGCGCGTTTGTCTGGATTTTCGGCCTCTCAATGACGTCACAATTCCAGATCATTACCCGCTGCCGCGCATCGAGCACACTCTTGCCAAAATATCGGGCCACAAATTTTATACAACCCTCGATTTAGCATCAGGGTACATGCAACTCTTGCTGTCTCCGGAGAGCCAAGAGAAGTGTGGTTGGGCTACCCATCGAGGCGTTTACCAGTTTGTTTACCTCTCTTTCGGATTAAAAAACGCTGGCGCCTATTTTTCGTGAGCTATCGCGGATCCTAGCAGGATTAGAAGCCAGCTGTCTAGCCTACCTGAACGATATTGTTGAACTCTTCTACAGGTTTCGCCTTCATGACATCAAGGCAACAGGCAAGAAGCACGAAAAATAAGGACATAGCACTTTCTCATATCAACTTTTTAGGCCATGAGATTTCCGGAGGCTCCTACTTTCCTGCTGATCGCAATATCCGAGGCATTCAGGATTTTCCGACGCCATCATCAACCAAAGCGGTAAAAGGATTCATCGGTATGGCTAAATTTTTTGTAAATTCATAGCGAGTTTTGCCTCGATCGCTTCACCGCTCTATGCGCTTCTCAAACATAAGGCAAAGTTCGTCTGGGGCTCTGAACAGGAAGAGGCTTCCCAGCGCTTAAGACTGCTCTTGGTCTCAAAACCTGGCCTGGCATTTCCTCAAGTCAAGGAATCTTTCCTACACACTGACGGTAGCTATGCGATAGGTGCCGCTCTCTTCCAGAACAGTTCGGACGAGGACAAGCAGCTGGTGGCAGTCGACTATTTTAATAGTACGGCACTGTCTGAGTCGCAGCAGAAATGGAGTAGCACGCACTTTGAGTTGTTCGCGATTATTAGCGCTTTGCGATTTTTCTGGACGACGATCTACGGGAACCATACCACCATCTTTTCAGACCATCGTCCACTCACCTTCTTACTTACACACAATAAAACCCATGACAATTTAACGAGATGGGTTGTTGAGTTACAAAGCTACGATGTCTCCATCGAGTACCTGGAAGGGTCTTCTAACGTCGCAGCCAACGCTCTGTCTCGCTCGGTGCGTCCGCACGTAAGGTTTCAGGATGGTACTCCAGCCGGCCGTTACATTTGCGCGCTTGATGTTTTTCCATGACTCATCTTCTCTTTCCAGGGCGTGGCGACGCATCGCAGGAGAAGCTCGAGGACTCGACAGCTTGCCGAGTCCGAGACTGTAGCATGGATCTCCCTCCATCTCTGAGGCGACGCCTCGTCCTACCGGGAACATCTACCTCGCCCTGCTCAAGACCTCAATTACCTTTCTGTTGTATCTCCTTGCTTGTTGTTCCTTTATTCGTTGCAATTGTAATACTTATGCGACGGTTATTTGTATCGTGTGAATATTGGTTATGACTTGCCGTTACCATTTACCTTTCATGTCCTAAGGATGAAACCTTAGTAAATGACCATTGTTAGGACAGAAGCAGGGTTGAGCCACTTCCGCCGTGCCCGCTCGCTTACTCGCCGCGGAAAGGGTGCAGTGTCGCCATGACTGCGCACGATGGATGACTCGAAACAATCCGTTCTTTTGTACGTTCAAAATCCGATGACAACTTGCCCGTGACATTCAGGCAGTAATTTCCATATTAGTAGCTAACATTTAATCATCTACCGATAGTGTAGGTGTTCATACAAAGATTCCAGAAGGATTCCACGGAAACACCGAACTATTCCCAGACAGCCTTTCCTCATTTTCTCTCGCCTCAAGGCCACATCCATGGAAAAAAAGAAATATGGTACTTTTCTATCTGATCAGCCCTGGAAATGCAAAAATGACCAGGGGAATGGCACATCGATCAACTCGCCATAGCGGCTTAACTCAGCATTTCTCAGGTTTCCGATTTCCTGCGCTCCACTCATGAAGAAGTTACCTTTTGTAGGAACGGCCAAAAACTATTAGGTAAGCCTCCCCACGGACCCCAAATAACAACCAGGGCACTTACAAGGGAGGTCGTTCAGGGCGTGGTGAGCTTTTCGAAAACGGTTTGTTGCATATTGTAGGGGCTCACGCAAGGACCCGAAAAGTGTGCTTCATTTTCGCTGCGCGCTTCCAGGAACGGTAAAAACGAGTGAAAGAAATCTTTGGAATCTGCTTCGTTCTGGGCCTCTTTACGGCGTGGATCACTTGCAACTTTGACCAGTTGCTGTGTGGGGGGTACTTATAAAGGGGCTATTTGAATCGAAGCGAAAAATCGCCGTAAGTGAGCTTCCAACTTGGGTCATGTGCTCAAGGGTGAACAGCTTCTTGCACGGTTTCATCAACGATAAGAGCGCTAGCAGTGTCGAGCATCGGATAGCCTAGTGGATAGAGTGGAGGTTTCGCAATCGGACAGTGGGGGTGGGGTTGATGGTTCGGCTCCCCTTGCGTCGTAGCTCTTTGCATTTTTTAGATTTCGCTGTTCTCGCTTCCATTAGTGTCCGCGCATGAATATAACTCGAATATTTGCCATTTGGACACATTCTGAGTAGCTGTACCTCATGAGTCAGTGCCATTCAACCTATTTTGATTTTCACGCACCATTGAACAAGATTGTTGCTGGACGTTGATCCTCATAGGCTATACAGTGAATCTGATTGCGAATTTGGTAATTCTGGTGTTGTGCGATTATAGACAATTTGGAGCCACATCTTGTTTCCACTGAATTCGTTATGTACACCAATATAGGAAACGTTCAGCGCTATTCTGTCGCCAGATTGCGTGGACGCCAAGAATAGGAGTTATATTTGTGATCAGGACCACTGATTACCACTAAAAACGAATTTTTGGTCAAAACAATTGTTTTGACCTTCTTGGGTTTGCTTATTGGGTTGTCCGGTGTCCGTAGCGCCAACGATACGTCATCGCAGTTACGAAGATGTGAGACTCCGCTCACACTGCCGACCAAATGGTCGGTCACCTAAACCCGAAAAAGTCAAAAAAAATTTTTACGCTCAAAACTTGCTCCTAGGGGTAATCGACAGTCCTGATCACGATTCTAGACTTTATTTTCGGTTCAAGTGCCATCTGGCACCGGCATAGCGCCGAAGAGCTGAGTCTGTGCATACTAACGAATTCGAACGAAAAAGCAGTTTTGCTCCATGAAAGTAGGATTGTTCAGTTTAACGTGAATGTTTTGTTAGGACCACTTATTTAGACAAACATGGATCCAAAAAATGAAAAATTGTAGAAAAGCAAAATTTTGTCCTCGGTGGGATCCGAACCATCGACCTATTTTTTACGTTTTTTTTTATTCGTAGAAGCGCGCAGCGAAAATGGACCTCAGTTTTCTGGTCCTCGTATGTGCCCCTACGATATGCACAAGACCATTTTGAAAAAGCTCACCACGCCCTGAACGACCTCCCTTGTTAGATGGGGATTTCGACAGAGTCCTTGCGATTTCTCCCCTCCCCCCCCCCACCTCTGAAAAATGGCTTGATACGGCTCCCCTCCAATATCACCTATTGGTTTCGTAGATTTTCTACCAACTTCCTCCCATTTTTCCAGGACTCATCGAGAATTTTTTATTTTTTTGTGTTTTCCTTAGAATCGAACCACCTTCCAACAGCCAGAAAATACGCTGGGGAATCCTTAACAACGAACTGACCTGATTTTAAAGTCGACACCCCATTTTAGTGCAGCCTTAATTTTCAACTGCTGGTCACAACTTCTGATGAATTGCGAAAATTTTGAATTTTTAGGGTGGCGGTCAAGAATTCGTATTCTCAGTAATGCTTTGAAAAAGCACGCGGATGACAAGGATACGATAATTCTCTTCGTCGATGCGTTTGTCTCTATCCTTTTTGTTTTTGGTGAGACTCCTTGAAAATAATAAAAGCTTCAGCTACGACGTGGTGTTCACTGCTAGTATGGACATATGGACACAATCCTCGATCGGTTCCTCGCTTACTTCGAAAACTACAGGGTGTTATTAGGTTGTCCGGAAAGTTCTGCACGTTTCGAATGTTTCACTTTAAACGATCTCCTTTAACCTATCGACAATCCAACAGCATGTTATATCACTCTTTTATTGAAATGTATAATTCATCATTACCTTGATAGCATGAACTTTGCATGTGACCCCCCCCCCTTTAACTTTTACATTCTCTCTTTTATTCTGTTTCTCAACACCTCCCCCTATGTAATCCATGTCCTCATGTCGTCAACCTGTCGCACTGATGAGCTCGGGGGTTGGATAGACAATGATGATTCGTCTGCGATACCGACCTAAACGGATCATCTGTGCTGTGGAGTGTATTCCTTTCCCAATGTTGTTTTTCTTTACTCCTAAATGGACTGCGCCTTCAGAGGTCAGAGGTAGTAGGATACAGTAATTAGTTGTGGCAGAACAGTAATTTTCGTAAGGTAATTATTTATAGTAACCATGGCGGTTCATTGGCAAGCAGAGTTACTGCTGTTCCTAATAGTTACCTCATCGGATCCTATGACCTCTAATGCTGGCCCTCAAAAAACAGCCCCTGGCAAGATTATGTTGGATACTGGATCAAAATGGGCGGAGTTAGCGAACTTTGGGGCTCTACCGCATAGAATTTGAGGTGCGATTCCACACAGCGTCATTGTACCTCAAAGTCTTCCACTTCTGCTTATTCGAAACTTCAACATGCGGAAGATGAGAACACGAAAATGGACATCGACAGGTTTTTCGAACAACTTTTCTGCTAGCATGTGCAACACCAATTGGAAGCCGTGTGCATGGCTCATATCAGAGGGATACTCAATCATGACCATACATCGGATGCCCTGCCCCGGTCGCTGTACAGCAGTGTTCGCTGCGCATGCTGATGCGTCAGACACCTGGGCTTGGCGAAGCACGGATCCGTTCTGCGTCAAATGTGGTCGCTTGCCAGCTCCAAAAATTGATGAAGAACTAATTAGCATCGCCAATCCCTGCCCTTCCTGACACGCCCCAGCATCCGCAGCCAGCAAAACTATGAGGTAGAGGAATGGCTCATCTCTAGCGGAGCACACCAATACTGAGCATTTTAGCTTTCTTCTGTTGTAGCACTCATCAAAGGAAACCGACCTACGCCACCAGAGATCCCAAATATGGCTCACCCTTAGCTTTTCATCAAGGTAAACCATCGTGTAGTATAGTTGGACATCATCGCCATCAGCAACATCTTTCAAAGTGATCATTTGATAAAACTTTTTTGCATAGCCCATGAAGAGACCGGAATTGAGATACCTGAACAAACAGCTATGATTCGTTCTCTGATAAGAGACAGACTTTCTCACCTCTTCCCATATTCCACCACCGAATATTCAATCGCAATGATTGATCTGGCCAACAGAAGGGTCCAGCGCCAAATAACACCCTGTACCCTGTAGTCTCCGAAGAAAAAGAGGAACCGATCGAGGATTGTGCCCATACTAGCAGTGAACACCACGTCGTAGCTGAAGCCTTTATTATTTTCAAACAGTTTCATCAAAAACAAAAAGCATTAGAGACAAACGCATTGCGAAGAGAACTATTGTATCCTTGTCATCCGCGTACTTTTTCAGGTTCGATTCTAAGTAAAGCACAAAAAGGAAAAAAATTCTCGGGAAGTCCGGGAAAATGGAAGGAAGTTGGTGGAAAATCTACGAAAGCAATAGGTGATATTGGAGAAGAGCCGTATTAAGAAATTTTCCAGAGGCGGGGGGGGGGGAATCGCACGGACTCTATCAAAATCCGCACCTAAGTGCCCTGGTTGAAAGACACATATTCGTACATGTGAAACAAGACACGTTTAAGAATCCCATTCGGGGTTTGTTTGGGGTCCGTGGGGAAGCTCCCCTAATAGCTTTTGGAACGTATCATTGTTTTTTCCGTCCGTTGATTTATCCCAACTTTTCCCTTTTCATTGTGCTGGAAACTTCCTTATCCGTAGTGGATACTGAGAATGTTTTGAGAGGCGGAGGGGGGGAGGGGAGCATGGTCTGGCGCGGAGCCGGCCAATTTCCACCAACCGTGGACCTGACATGATTCCGCGTCTGAAGCAAACAAGATAGCTATAGACGGCGAAGCCCCAGAACAACTATGTAACCACTGTTTTGTTAGGTGGCCTTGGGGGCAGGTTGATAGCGAGGCCATCCCTACCGCTCCCATTAACCTGCATTGGGAAATATTGTCAGCAGGAGTTCTGGAATAGTCACAAGTTGGGAGCGCTTCGGAAGGTGGTCCGGATAGTTAGGAGGGGAGGATCGTGCTCAAAGGGAGAGATCGTACTGACCACGGTAGTTTCACACATCACGATGCTGCACCTGGTATGTAAAACCCGATGTGGGTTCAAGGTGAGGTGATTTTGAGGCCATTTTCATATCATAGCTAATGGGAATTCGTGAGCAAGTATATTCAGAAATGCTGAAGGTAGACTCACCTGCTCATTGTAACCACCGTTTCATTCTTCTCCCATTCGATCCAACACTCTCAATTCTAATGTAAATGTCTCTGTCTTTTCAGAAGTCTTCGCAACCCATCGGTGTCTTCTGTGGCCACAGTGACAACCCCCGACATTTGGTAGACCACACCAGACGATGCTGGGCAGCACTAAAGCCGCCGCAGCGGCTATGCATATCGAACTGAAAAGTTTTTTGAATACTGTACAGGGGGCGCGAATATTCGTGGCGTATTCCACAACGGCTGAGAGGAAAAGTCGGGGAAAAAAAGCGAAAAGAAGCCGTGTCAATCGAAGAAGGCGCTTTGGAAGCGCCTATACGACGTCACTTGCTGAAATGGATAACATAATGAGATCGCCAAAACGTGAAGCACATAAGCCACACAAAGCCCACTGGTAATATAATTCACGAGTTTCGATTTGATATGGAGCAGTGGGAGTTTTTTTAGGATTCAGCAGCAAAGCCTCCATACAACAAGTTGGCTGGAACACGTGTTGATGCCGTAGCCCTGATCTGATCCCTGGAAATCGCATGATTGTACCGTTCTACTTTCAAGTGAATCGTGTGATACGTAAAGTCTTGTTCGCTACAGATGCTGGGCCCTTCCAAGGTAGGGCTACGTTCGGCGCGGTGCAAGCTAGTTTTCTACATATTGTGGCCGCTTGTTAGCTTCCGTAATGACTGGTTTAGGGCCCGTGGAACTTGCCTTCGACCTCCCCCCCCCCTTCCCGTTCAACACTGAAGCGCCCCAGCGTCGGCAGCAAATCTTTTGCACTGTGTTCCTCAAGGCTTTTGAAGAAACTGAAGTCAGTCGAGGAGTAGCTGCGCTGCGTGAGTTCTGACGAGGTTCCAGCCCGCTTTCCATGAATCGCTGCGGATTCGGATGTTCAGTACGCTGGGAAAGGATAAAGGTTCGCTGCGGATAATAGGAGTGCTAGAAGGGGTGGTTTTGCGAAGCGCCAGCTCGTGTTCTTTCTGGTGATGGAAAGATAAGACTGTATCATATTGTTAGTACCAGTCATTTAACACCAGTTGTTGTTGCTTGTCTTCCTCGACGAAAATTTCGCAAGGTGCGACCACCCCTCCCCCTTCCCCCACACCCCTTGAAGGCGAGCGGCACGATAAATCTCCGAGACGCGTAGGATTAATAGCAGAACTAGCAGGACAGAATTTGGCACCCTCTAAGCAGTAGCTTCACAGCGCGTCTCCCAAGGAACGTACACTTATAGCGCCCTATCAATCTGCAGCACGCCGACCGGACGCTCACCGCGCATCGTTGTTGGGGACTCCCCAACAGGGGGAGGGTCGTGTTCTGTTGCCGTGGAAGGGTGGTCGTATTTGTTCTAGGCAAAATTTATTTTGATAGTTGATTTTTCTCGCTTCCCGGACGTTGTAAAGGGGTCGTACTTGCTCATTGTTGGGAGGGGGGTCATATTTACTTCCTGGCTTTTCTAGGAGTATTGGGAATGGTGGTTCACTTTTCGTATTTTCCTGTTTCATGCGTACTATGTACCCCCCTCGAGGCGGAGATGGTGTAGTGACAAGTGGGGCGCTCACCATTCGCGCGGTCCCCGGTTCGAATCCTGTGTCGACTCCCGCCCAGGCCAACCAAGCCTTCTACCCTCCGGGGACGCTGAATTGGTACCAGATTCGTCTGGGAGGATAAAACACCGACTTGTACATCGGCTGGCCACCGCAAGTCATTGTGTAGGCCACATCGCATTCAACAACCCACTACGATTCTGAATAGAAGTAGAATGCGTGCCGCATCCCACAAAGGGATTGATCAACGGCGAAGACTTTATCCTTTATCTTTTACAAGTGAAAAAAAGCTCAAAAGGGACGATGTAGATGACAACAAATAGAATTAGGCACTACCGAACTATTCCTATGCCAAGAGCTAAAAAAAATATTGCTGAAACTTTTTCCTCCTTCCTCACAAAAAAAACTTCAAGACACTTCGCCCACCAACCCTCCTCAACTAGTCTAGATAAATCCCAACCCACTAATCCGCAAAATCTAGAAAAGAATCCATTGCAAAAGCTACCTATGAAACCGTAGAAACTGAATCCTGAGCAATTTCCTCACAACAAAATCAAATTCAACAAAACAAAATCAAACTTAACAAAAACAAACAATCAAAATAATTAACAATCAAATGGATAAGAAAAAATACTCACCAGGCCAGCTGGGAACCGGAACTATGGATTACAGGGTGACCAGAAAGTTCTGGCAATTTTTCGGAATACTTCGGTTGCCTAAAAAATACCGTTCGAAAAAGGGAATCAGCCAACTAAACGTCTGGGAGTCTTCATCTAATCAGTACCAATGATCGTATACAACAAAGTTCCAATAAGTGTTACAAAAATGCCCTCCTTCAGCCTACAATACATTTACGTAGTCGTTTTCCAAAGTGTCCGACAATGGTCGCGCATTCTTCTGCGATATGATATTGGTCTGCGTGTAGTTTGGATCGCTCAAAACGGACGCAAGAACGTCACTGTATCAAGTGAGATAAAGCCGGCTTGCAGCATCGGAATTCTGGAATTTTTCGAACTAGGATGGAATAAGCTAATAGAGCAGTTCGAACATGCTTAGTTGGGAGGCAAACGTCCCTTTGCCAAGAATCGGGGAAATACAGCTTCAACAAGCGAGCGCAGTTCGATGGGTCCTTTAGCCAGGAGTGTGGCTCCCAGTCTCTTGGGACAGACGTAATGTCCATCGGGCCGAGTGCTTACCACACCATGGGCTTCCAGTGACATTCAGCGCGGGACGGCGTTTGTGGGAAGTAGAAGCGAGTTAATCTTTACGATGCGCTCGAGTGAAGAAATGAGAGTGCTTCCGTGGCACAGATCCAGTTTCAGACGTGACTGGGCTGGAAAGAGTCTGGCGGTCTGACGGATTTCACAGCCGTTGCCTTCTGTTGGACCTTTGTTGAGGAGCAGGCGAGACAACAATTCCGGGTAGTTGTGAATCGAAAAGTTTTTTCCAGTCGGGGAGCACGCACATTCATTCAAGCGAAGCAAGCAGCACCAGAAGGATGGAGTTTCAACAATCGTGAACTGTGGTGATTTTTTCGAGGACAGGTGCCGACGGGAGAAACGAAAGTGATTGGATAGAAGCTGACTCGCAGCAGGATAGTTCGAAAGGCGCCTTGGGGCGGAATCACAAATAACCTATACGGAACGAGAAAAGAGACCATAGTGACATTAAAAAAAGAAACGTGCAACTCGACGAAATGCGCGACTTTTTTAGGTCACCTGTATTATTATTGAATTTTGGCTGTTTCCGGGTCAGCTGCGACTCATACAAGGCAATGGTGGCGCTTATTTTTACGGTTTTGGAGCATTTCAAGCCGAAAATCTGAAGTACCCTCATTTGAACACACATGAACTTCGGTTGAACGTGAAGCTATCGGAGAGGGTAAGTGGGAATGAGTAGAGCTAGGTTGGCTCTTGTCACCTGAATTGAGTGATTTCAAAAACGCTCCGATTCCAGAGATCTCCCCGTTGTGATCATCGTTGTGATCCGTCTGTGATCATTTTTGCCGCTACGCTTTGGACGTCCACGGCAAGCTTCATACACGGCCTCTCGTAAAAAAAAACAATTGTGCCGAAAGCTTGAAGATTCCTACTTTCCAGCAAGGCTTCAATTTTGTTCCTAGGCCTGGTATTAGGAAAAATTCCCCGTTGTGACCATTTCGTGACTACCCCCACGACACGAAAAATCAGCCCCTCCGAGGCCATGAAACTTCCAGTTGGCTTGAAGACTTTGGTATGTTTCTAAAACACATGTTTCCGCAAAGGGTCTCAGGAAATAGGCCACTGGGCGCCAATTAGCATCACCTCTGCAATGCGCCATGCATGGGGCTTTCACGCAGGTGTTTGGAAGGTGGAACTTCTAGATAGGGCTTTCCAATTGTAAGCAAATGTGCTCCTGCAATCGGAAAAGTCCGGGAATGTACTTTCCTCTGTTTATTCATCGTCAGTCGTAAGTCCTTTCCCATTTATAAATTCACCTGTCGCCTCGCCGGCTGACGCCGGCGTGG